AGGCCTGTCTGTTAATGATGCTGGAAGCGAGGAACAAAACCAGATGTCCTTTGGACCACTTACTGGTGACACACTTTCTCCACAACAAAGGGAGGTTAAAGATTAAGGTTAGCCGGGCTTGGTGGCTCAGCCTGTAACCCCAGCGCTTTGGGAGGCCGAGGTGAGTGGACTGCCTGAGCCGCGGGTTCGAGACCCGCCTGGGCAACTTGGCGAGACCTCATCTCTACAATAAGTCAAAAATTAGCCGGGCATGGTAGCATGTGTCTGTAGTTCCAGCTACTCGGGGGGCTGAGGCGGAAGGATCGCCAGAACCCAGCAGGTCGAGGCTGCGGTGGCCGAGAGCGGCCACTGCACTCCAGTCTGGGCGACAGAGTGAGACTCCAACTCAAAAAAAAGAAAGATCAAGGTTTAACCTGGAAAGCTATTTTTCAGTGGGACAATAAAAAGGTGGAAAAGGCTATGTGGATCTGTTGCTGCTTTAGGCTAACATTTTCAAGTCAGCACAAAAGTGCTCAGGAAGACAGGCTCAAATGAGGATTATTTCCTGGAGGGATTTTTTATAAGCAATTTTACCGGCAAAATGATTTCTCAAAGGTGAGCCACTTCATCTCATCCTACAGAGAGGGGCGTACAATCTTAAGACCCAGCACTGGAATTGAGGCATCCTGCCTTTTTTCCTAAGGAGTTCCAAATAATTAAGGTTTTGATCTAAATGCCTGACTAGAACCTCAATCCCAGGAGAGCTGTTTTATTGTATTGTTGAGATTTTCTCTGCATACCCACAGACAGTAAGCAATTTAACAGGTAATTATTCCAGGCCAGAGTTTATGTCCTCTGATTCAATAGTTAAGAGAATCTTCACATCTGGCCTGGCTGGGAGGGTGGGGCCGGGCAGGGGAGGATGGAAGGACAGGTAGACATCAAAATGGCGATGGGCCTGGCAAAAAGACAACGCTCCTTTTTTTTGTATCCTTTAAAGCCTATACCCAGGGTTTTAAATGGCTTTTTGGTGTTTCCTGATAGGAAGTCAAATAAGTTTTGGAGTTAAGACCTGGGAATGTAAACAAAGAAAACCAAGAGTTTTAAACAACTGAGTGCTGCAGGAACAGAGGCAATGGCTCTCTCTCCACGTTCTACACAGTCCTCTCACTTTTCCAGTCAAAAGCACTTTCTTTTTACCTTCTGTCCTGCTGAATTCTGAGCTAACCCATTTCCCTTTAAGCTCTTCTCACCAGGTGGACAGTCTCATTTTCTGAGACAAACTCAAGCTCACCAAATTATCACGGTAAACAAAGCTTCAGGGGAGAGACATGACTCTTCACTTCAAAAGCTTCACATTGCAGACAGCCAACATCATGTGACTGCTAATCTCAGCTCAAGGAGTGTGCCCAAATCAACACAAAATAGGATTCTTTCTCTCTTTTATTTATTAGCTTTTAAAGAGAGTAGGAGGACAAACTATTTGATTAATCTGAAGGTGAATGGTATCATTTTCTCAGATGCTCCGATTAGGCTTCTCACCTCCCTGAAAGGTTATCAGCTGAAGGCAAGACTTTCTGAGGCTAATGCAAAAACATGGCCCAAATGTGAAGTTTCCCTATTGGAGTAGGGGGAAAGGCTGCTGGCCTCCAAAGGGAAATCCGCCAACAACTTCTGGGCTCCCAGGACCTGTGGCGACCTCAAGACAACCTGACACACAGATAACAGTATCACTTATGGGTTATAGTCAATGCTCCTCAATGTACAGCTTTTTACCTAAAAATCTCAAATGTCTCACTGCTTCAGGTGACAGCTAAAGTGACATGGAAAACACAGTTCTCCTGGATGGTGAGGTCTTGGCTGCAAAGCTCACCCCAGAGTACAGAGGCCGACTGTGGAGTGTTCTCCGCTCGCTCCAAGGGAGGTTGGGTGCCTTGATGGAAGCAAGGCTGAGCTCAGCATGGACAGCCCCACAGCCTGGAAACATCCCCCAGATTCGGGACACAGGCTCTGTACAACAGGGCTAGTAGTGACTGCCATGTCAGGGGCCTCATGAATGGCAGGGCCTCAGGCCTGAACTCTTATAGTCTTTAAAAGTCATAACTAGATGAGCCATTTGTATTATCTAATCACCATTAAAAAATCTCCTCCCTTACTATATAGAGCTGCTGAATGAATTAACTGTCTTGCATGTATCTTACTTTTTTGTAAAGATGTGGATTATTTTCTGAAGTGCAGATGGGACCAGGAAAAGCTATGTTGTCAGCTACAGCCAACACTCATTTCTCTTAAAGCAAAAATTCATCCCACCATGAAATTTCTCCAGGTATTTCCTGCAACTTTAAATCAATTCTCAATGAGGACGAGCTAAGAGAATACTTCAGAAACATCAATATCACACAATTGTGGCAAAATCACATTGTGGCTATTAAATCCTTTTGTAAACTAAAAAAGTGAATGTGGCTCAGGCTAAGCTGTGTTTTGTTTGTTTGTTTGAAAAGGTAGGATGGGGACTCCCACAAGGGCATTAACAGAATGCTCGATGGAAATGAGAAGATGGTAAAGTACAACGTGTGAAATGTACACCCAGGCCTAGCCAAAGGCCTATTTGCCTCTAGTTAAGGAGGTTTAGCAGGAACCTCCAATGAGCACTGTGTGCAGAGAAGAGAAAGGGGAAGGAGGAGGAGGAGGTAAAGATCTGCACAGAACTTCTTTCTTCTTTTATAAACCACAAAGGGTGACTGTTTTCTGCTAAGCAAACCTAAGAGACTTTATATGGGCTGACTCCTAACATCAAAACAAAATATTCTTTACCACAGAGGAACTTGACTATGTAGCAACACGTTTACAAAACTGCTGCAGAACACTCCTAGAGGGCAGTGACCTACTCTGCTCCCCAGAGGCTGCAAGAAGCAAGGCCTCAAGCGTCGCCCTGTTCCTTGGGACTGTGCAGCGCAATGCAGAGGGCGGAAATCCTGCAGCGCCGCCACCCTCTAGGCCTTCCGTGGCCTGGAGGGGGTGATACTCCCACATCCTTTGATCCCTCCAGATGGTTCAGCCTAGACTCAGCGGAGGGAGCCCTCTCCACTCAGGGCAGATGGAGTGGTGGACACTTGTAAAAACAAAACACAGTCAATTCATCAACTGTTCCATCCTGTTATGTTTGCTGGGAAAAAAACAAGACTCCTATTTTATGGGCTGCACTGTTTCTGGAAGGCTACAGAAAATCTAACATGGCTGACTTCTGGTAGCCCTCTTCTCCCTTACACACACACACACACACACACACACACACACACACACACACACGTTAAATCCTGGTCCAAAAAGATCACATAACTCACTGGTGTATTTCCCCAATGGCTGTCATTTATAAACTAAAAACACTCATATTTTTAAAAATCCATTACTATCTTATTCTACCCTGAGTATGGTAGACTTGGATGGATGCTCAAGTGATAACTAAAATGTAGGGCATGCAAATGCAGAGGCTGCAAGAAGCAAGGCCTCAGGTGTCGTCCCGTTCCTTGGGACTGAGCAGCGCAATGCAGAGGGCGGAAATCCTGTAGCACTGCCACCCTCTAGGCTTTCTGGGGCCTGGAGGGAGTGATACTCCCACATCCCACATGAGTGAGAGGCTGTGGATCTGCCCTTAACGTAGAAACCTGTTTCCTTCGAGTCTGAATGAAGCCAGCACTGGTAGAATTAATGGTAAATGAAAATATTCTGCAAATAGGACAGTTTTTGTGCTTTCTTTTGTTTATTTTCACTTTTAGGGGGGAGATAAAGGTTACTGCAACCATGAGTCTAACTAATCTATCACAAAAAGACTGTGACTACATGAGTAAAGACAGTCATGGTGTCTATGGTGCTAGTGAGGAAAAACACCAATCCCTGCTCATCAGAATTCCAGTGCAACAGAAAACAGCACCATTTTCAACAATTCTGGTATTGGACAAAGCCTTCTTTTGTCAGTTGAGAAAGCATCAGTACAATCTTCTCCCCAGCTAACTGCATTAATAGGATCCATTCATGTCACTGAAAAATACTTCTTGGCACAATTCACTTTCCTGACCCAAAGACACCAACAACAGCCAAAACTGGACTTTTTGGGGGTAGTATATTGTTACATTAGCCCAGTCAAAACATCCTCAGATCATTAAAAAATGCAGAAGCTACTATTAACACTGCACTTCCTTTTTTAAAGAGCACTGACTTGTTCTGCAAAGCACTTTCAATCTATACCATGAAGGTAGAATTCAACTGGAAGAATGTGTTTTTTGAAGAATGTGTTTTTCTATTTAGTGATTGGTTAAATATATTTTCCCCTATACTTAAATTAGCAGAAACTTAGAATGCTCTAAGGTAGGCAATAAGAAGCAGTGTGTTTGCTTTAAGTTAAGACATGTGGACATAAGTTGGTGTTCACATTCAAGTTCCACGACACTGTTTCTATGCACTGGGAACCTTACTTGGGGATATAAGCCCTTTCCCAGAGGTATGATGGTGTCCCAAGAATACAATTGCTTTTTTGGCTCTGTATTTCAAGATTGAGAGAGGAGGCAAACCAAGAGTAGGTAGAAAAATTTTAAATTCACCAAATGATGTTCCCAAAGGTGTTGAACACCGAATGACACAGGGCTATTAGATATACACATTCCTTTTAGTGGAAGGGGGAGAGCAACAGTTTTTCAGTTTGAGTATTTATTAGAATTTTTAAATAAGGAGAACTATGATTTGAACTTCACATCTCAGCTGTAATCTGATAAAGGAGATGCCACTAGGAAAATAGCAACAATCTCCAGTCCCAAACCAGGGATCAATCAGTATCCCCCTCTCCACCTCACTCTGATCTCAAGACGCTTTTACTTCCCAACTAAACAAGCCAATTGGCAAATAAAGCCAATCTCTATCCAAACCGACAAGAGAGTGTGCAGTGAGCCCATGCATTATGTAGCTGCTATAGCAAATGACTATGTGGCCTCCCACAGCTCTTCCCAACAGAAGACAGACCTTTTATATTCCGGTGGGAGACTAATTTAATATTTCTGAGCATGCTCACATGCAGTCACAAGTGCCACAATATTACAAAGACAAGTAAACACCTGAATCCTCTCCCCCACCATATACTTTTCAGGAATTTAATATGGTGACCCAGAACGGGGATGGGACTGCACAGCTGCAAAGTGCTGTTGGATGCTTCAGAGCACAAGAGCAAAATCCAGTTGAGCACGGTGTAAGGCATATATGAACAAGAAGAGAGGCAGCTGGCAACAAGTAGCATTATGGGAAAGACTCCAGACCAGCAGGACAGAAATGGTGCTCGATGCTCCAGTTTGTTAGATAAGCAATTCCAAGAATCCAGTTCAAAGCCTATTGTCAACATGTAGGGCAGAATTCAATTTCTATCACTGTTTCTTTGTATCTGGGCTGACGCCATTTGCTCCTGGCTTGGTAAAAATAAAATAAAATAAGGGTTTCTTCCTGTTTCTTTCTTGGCATGACAACACAGCTTGGAGAAGAAAAGGCTATGAGTCCTGGGAGTACTACGAAGGGAGCTAAGCTCTTCCTGCACCTACGTACCCACAGTCAATGAACGGAGGATGGAAAGAGCAGGGATACCTGCCTAGCCACTAGCATCAACAAAAAGTAAATTCACTGTGAGACTTTCCATTACAGAAACGCCTGAGTTAAAAAACAAAACAAAACCAAACCATGAAAAGTTAAACAGTTAAATCCCCCTTTCTAAAAGTCATTTATTTACATATTATATGTCCAGTATATAATGTGTAGATAAATGTATCCTGCAGTAAAAGTGACCAACCTACTGAACTGAACAGCACATTATAGGACAAATTCTTGAAAGTTTTCATCTCACACTAGTATCTTTTAATTAAAAAAATTAAAAACCAAAGAGAGATGTCTGGCCAGGGCAGGAATGGGACAAACAGGAACACTTCAGAATTCAAGGCAGGGGAAGGCTGTCTGCCTCTCTTTAGAGGACTGCAGGGATGTGAAAAGGGAAGGACATATCATGCACAAAGGTACTTACAAATTATGTACCCAACCCCCACCCCCTCAGTAAAAAGAGAAGAAAAAGCCCCATTACATAACACCAAACAGCAACATTATCAACACGCCCTTGCTCTGCTGCCCATCATGCCTTATTGAAAGAAGAGGCCTGTGAGAAGTGAAAAGAGCCAGGATGAGAGGGAAGATCTGCACTTCAGTCTAGTCTCCAATTTCCATTTCTCTTACGGGAAGCCTTCAGTCATCTGATGCCGGACATCGAGCTCTGAGCAGAAACCGAGTATGTGGTGGCCACGACCGGGGTGCCATTGTTGGCTGAGTAGCCTTGCCTCAACGTCTCAAAATAGGACGCCTGCACGGGTTTGTGATACTGCAACACTTTTATGGCATCTTCTATTTTAAACCACTCCCTCTTCCTTCCTGTGGAGGCAGAGAGAAAAAGAAATTAGTACAAGAGGGAAGCAAGGAGGTTTCAAAGCCCAGAACTTCTGAGAACATGTTGAAGGAAACAATAAAGTAATGCTCCCCAGCACTTTTATTTTATTTATTTAATTAATTAATTTATTTTTTGAGTTAGAGTCTCACTCTGTCGCCCAGACTGGAGTGCAGTGGCCACTCCCGGCCACCGCAGCCTCGACCTGCTGGGCTGCGGGGATCCTTCCGCCTCAGCCTTCCAAGTAGCCGGAACTATAGGCATGCACTACCACACCCGGCTGATTTTTTGATTTATTGTAGAGATGAGGTCTCACTGCGCAGGCGGGTCTCGAAGCCGCGGGCTCAGGCAATCCACTCACCTCAGCCTCCCAAAGGCGCGGGATTACAGGCTGAGCCACTGAGCTCGGCTTCAACTTGTACAGTTAAGACCCGGTTTTTCACTAGGCAAGAATAATGGTAGGTAGATCATCTGAAGGAAGGCCCACATACTTGTTTCCCTTATCTTATATTGTTTCATTATGGTCACTTCTCAGAAGTGGGAGTACGAGGTGAAAGGCTTGTTTGGACTAGTGGAGCAATAGTACCTTAAAAATTAACATCACAAGTGTGTATCTCCCGCCCACCAGAGTGTGCTCTGAAGATACGCCTCACCACATTCATCGTTGTTTTTCCTTTTTTTTCTTTTTGAGTTGGAGTCTCACTCTGTCGCCCAGACTGGAGTGCAGTGGCCATTCCCGGCCACTGCAGCCTCAACCTGCTGGGCTCCGGCGATCCTTCCGCCTCAGCCTTCCAAGTAGCTGGAACTACAGGTGTGCGCTACCACACCTGGCTAATTTTTTGATTTATTGTAAAGATGAGGTCTCGCTGCCCAGGCGGGTCTTGAACCCGCGGGCTCAGGCAATCTACTCACCTCAGCCTCCCAAGGCGTGGGATTACAGGCTGAGCCACCGAGCCCGGCCATCGTTGTTTTTCAAGTCCCTGTATTGGGTGCCATGGAGCCTGTTTTCAATATATCGCCAGCGATATTTACTGCAGCATATTGCATGATTACCAGACACAAAGCCATCAAAAGCCAAAGGACTACGAAGTGCCCAGATTAACAGTGTGCTGGGGGCATGGTGGCAAGGAAAACACTAAATAACAGGAAGTGAGGGGCTTGGCAAGTGAATTTTATCTATCTGCCAATTTACAAAGGAAATTAATTAATTATATTAATATAAATCAATATATATTACTATATTAATGTAAATTAGTATTATATCTTTTGTACTTTTCTAGAGAAGAGAGGTTAAAAATTACTTCAAAAGCCAACTGTTAAACCACCTCAGTTTTTAGTCCAAGAGACATATATACAATAGTGAACTGAGAGATCAAACAAAATGGCTCCTTTGGGAGAAAGCTGGGGGCACTTAAAGGGCAATATGAATAAAACTGAAAACTACGCTGCCTCTTTCACATGACTTTCTAGAGGGCTCAAACCACCCGTCAACAGTTTTCTCCAACGACATGATTGAGTGTTATGAGAAACAAGTCCAAGGTCCTGCTCTTGCCTTTGGTCTTCATGGCCAGCAGCAGGCCAGACACCACGGAGGCCCTCAGTCAATATCTGCTCAGGAGGTGGAGAAGAATAAATCTGCTGGGGAGGAGCCAATCTGATCTTAGAAGCAACAGTCCTTATTTTTAGAAGCTATGTCTCTTTCCTTTTTGAGTGAGAGTCTCACTCTGTCAACCAGGCTGGAGGGCAGTGGCACAATCCTGCAGCCTCAACCTAGTGGGCACAGGCAATCTTTCCGCCTCAGCCTTTCGAGTAGCTGGAACTCTAGGAACGCACCACCATGCCCAGGTAGTTTTTTGATTTATTGTAGAGATGAGGTCTCGCCAAGTTGCCTAGGTCTCGAACCTGCGGGCTCAGGCAATCCTCTCACCTTGGCCTCCCAAAGTGCTGGCATTATAGGCATGAGCCACAGCGCCCGGTCTTTCTTTTTAAAATAGAGACAGGGTCTCTCACTCTGTTGTTGAGGTCAGAGTGCAGTGGTGTGATCATGGCTCACTGTATCCTTGAACTTCTGGGCTCAAGCAATCCTCCTACTTCAACCTCCTAAGTAGCTGGGACTACAGGAGCATGCCACCATGCCCAGCTCTTTTTTTTTTTTTTTTTGTAGAGACAGGACCTCACTCTATTGCCCAGGCTGGTCCCGAACTTCTAGTCTCAAGCCATCCTCCTGGCTTGGCCTCTCAAAGTGTTGGGATTACAGGCACGGGCCACTTTGTTGGGCCAAGGATTGTTTCTTTATTCCTTTATCTTTTTTATTTTTTATTTTTGAGTCAGAGTCACACTCTGCCACCCAGGCTGGAGTGCGATGGCATACTCATGGCCACTGCGGCCGCAACCTGCTGGGCTCAGGCAATCCTTCCACCTCAGTCTTCCAAGTAGCTGGAACTATATAGGTGCATGCCACCATGCCTGGCTAATTTTTTGACTTATTATAGAGATGAGGTCTCGCCAAGTTGCCCAGGCTGGTCTTGAACACCTGGGCTCAGGCAATCCTCTCACTTCCACCTTCCAAAGTGCTAGGATTACAGGCATGAGCCACCACGCCCAGCTGTTTTATCTTTAGAGACAGGCTCTCATTCTGTCATCCAAGCTGGAATGCAGTGCTATGATCATAGTTCACTGCAGCCTCACACTCTTGGGCTCCAGCAATCTTCCTACCCAAGCCTCCTGAGTAACTAGGACTTACAGACATGCACCACCAGCCTGGCTAATTAAAACAATTTTTAAAAAAGAGATTGGATCTCACTATGTTGCTCAGGCTGGTTTTAAACTCAGTGACCTCAAGTGATCCTCCTGCCTCAACCTCCCAAAGTGTTGGGATTACAGGCATGAGCCACTGCTTCCAACCCTATTTCAAAATACTTTCTCCAGTTCAAAATGTACATGCTTGTTTTACTACACACACCCTTCTATTATTTCTTTTCTTTACCAAGCCCTTGTTTCTGGTTCTGGAATGGTGGTGGGGAGCCCTTTTGAGGCTGTCTGACACCACTTACCAATGTTAACTGAGTCTTCCCAGTCTTCCAGCACTTGCGTGACAATGAGCACATAGACATACGTCCTGTGCTTCCTCTCCTGGTTCTGAAGGGTAAAGAGAGGGCACAGGAAGAGTTTTTCCTTAGAGAACTGGGATTCCTTAAATAAAACACACTCTTACGCATACATCCAGAGAGTTTATACATAAAGATTCTAAACTTTTACTTTCTATCGTCCTACAATCCTGGTCACAATTTAAAACAGGTCACACCTGAATTTGAGGATGTGCTCTTTGGCTGGGCTTTTTTTTTTTTTTTTTGAGTTGGAGTCTCGCTCTGTCACCCAGGCTGGAGTGCAGCGGCATGCTCACGGCCACCCCAGCATAGACCTGCTGGACTTAGGTGATCCTTCCGCCTCAGCCTTCCAAGTAGCTGGAACTACAGGCGCACGCTACCACGCCCGGCTAATTTTTGATTTATTGTAGAGATGAGGTCTCGCCTGCCCAGGCGGGTCTCGAACCTGCGGGGTCAGTCAATCCACTTGCCTCGGGCTCCCAAAGTGCTGGGATTACAGGCTGAGCCACCTGGGATTACAAACTGAGCCACCGAGCCTGGCCTGGCTGAGTTTCTAAAGCCAAGTCTCTATGCTCATTCTTCTTCTCCTTTCCCTAAATACAACTTGACAGAAATGCTGTGACCCCTCAAGAAAAAGACACCCTGTAAACATAATTAGCTTGAACACCACAAAGAGAAGAGACTGTGGATGCAAGGGCACCAAAGAGATCTTGTGCCTCAGTGGCCCCGCCGGGGCAAACAAGCCCAGCATTTCCCATAGTTTCCCTTTTCCCACTACCCCTGCTCTTCTGCATTCGTCCTGATTGCCACTTTTTCTGGCCTTCTTTCAAATCTCCACTACAGTTTACTTCTGTAATTGTCTTCTACTTCTCCTCCATCTTTTTTGTCTACACTTGTCTACTCTTCCTTCCACTTTGGGAGGAGAGGAAGAAAGGTAAGAATGGGATAAAAAAACATATAACAAATAATTCTGGTTGTTTGAAGATTATGGGATTTAAAAAAGAAACCACATGAGGGGGGAAGCAGGGAGGGGGTTAGGGTTCAAAAATTACCTACTGGGCACAATGTTCACTGTCTGGGGAATGGGTCCCCTGAGACCCAATCCCCATCACTACACAATGTGCCCATGTAACAAACATGCAATTGTACTCCCTGAATCTAAAATAAAAATGGAGGGAGAAAAGAAAGCATGCTATTCTCTGTTGGTCCTGCTTTATCCTGAAAACGCACCGAAACAGAGATGGCATCTTTCCTACATTAATATCTATGTGGTTGTCTGATACCATTTGTATCAAAGACTTTAACAGACTTACCTCAAAAATTCCAACTAATCTTCCCAATGTCCCTTTTACTCCAGCCTGAAAAATGAAAAACATAAATTAACACATTGATACTTTCATATCGCTGGTCTCATTCTGAGTCTCCTCGAGTAACTGTGAATTAGAAATGAAAAATAAGACGACACAGCTCAAGAAGATTCCTAGTCTGTGGAGTGATATCAGCGTTTCCTGTGTGTCACAGATTGCCAACAGCAGGGTACACTCTGAGGCAGAAAGAAGAATTCCTCTCATCTCTTCTGCTCTCCCCTCACTGCAAAGCTGGTCAAACAGAGTGAGATAATCAAGACCATGAAGCCATATCAAAATATGAAGAGGACAATAAATTTTAAAAATACATATATATGATGAAGTATTGATTATTACTTCATTTATTCATTCAGTCAACAAATGTATTATACAGAATGCCTAATTTGAGCCAGAAAACAGTACAGGTGCCAGGTATAATGATGAGTAGACCAGAATGCAAGATCCCTTGAGAGTAAGACCCTGTCTGCCTTGTTCTTGACTGATTGTAAACAGCATACTGAGAGAATTCAGCACCCTCAGGATCTCCGGAAAGCATGAGAACATAAACACGGTAATTCTGCTGATGATGGGTATTGTGATGGAAATGCACAAAACAATGTGAAGACAGATGGCAGGGAGAGGGACAACTTCAGTGGTTAGACTGTCTTAATATATACTCTCGATCTCCCATCAGCCTTTTCATTTTTTAAAATGTGTGTTTCTTTCTAAAGATCAATTTTTTAAGTCTACTCCAATGTATTAATTTTCTTTTCAGCTGTAACCAAGCTGTTTTTCATTTCTACCTATTCTTTTTGCATATACCTGTTTATATTGTGTACACTAGTGTCTCTATTATTTTTTTATTTTTTATTTTTTGAGTTGGAGTCTCACTCTGTCACCCAGACTGGAGTGCAGTGGCCACTCCCAGCCACCGCAGCCTCGACCTGCTGGGCTCCGGCGATCTTTCCGCCTCAGCCTTCCAAGTAACCAGAATTACAGGCATGTGCTACCACGCCCAGCTGATTTTTTGATTTATTGTAGAGATGAGGTCTCGCTGCCCAGGCGGGTCTCGAACCCGTGGGTTCAGGCAATCCACTCACTTCAGCCTCCCAAAGGCGCGGGATTACAGGCTGAGCCACAGAGCCCGGCTTATTTTTTTCTTTTTAAACATAAGTTATTCTTCACTTATTTTTTTAATATCTTGAACATATTTAAGTTCTCTATCAGGCTATTCTATAAAGTTCATTTCATCTGAAGTGATTTATGTTCCAGTTGAGGTTGCTTCCACCAAGCTCTCCAGAGCCAAGTCTCCAAGTGACCCTTGAGGAACTCACGGATATATGGGGCAGACGGCAGATAAAGCCCATGGAACGGGAGGGTGCCTGGCTCTATCCTTTGCTGGACACTGCATCTCTGCCTTTCCCTTTCTAGATCCAGGTCTTCCCAAGAGTCCTTACTCCTAGTGTCCTTTCATCCCCTCATTCTGAAGGGACTGCAACTTGCCTGGGGTCCAAGCAAGTTGCAGTTTTCCCTTGATGTTCTGCAACTTCTGCTGTTTCTGATCCATGAAGGCAAATCTACCGCGCATTTGGACCTGACTAGGTCTTTCTGGCTTATATTTTTTATATTCTTCTCTGTTTTTGCTGGGAACAGATGGGGTGAGAAATGAGAAAACTGGAATTCCTAAAAGTGCCTGTAACACTATAATTTGTTTTCTATCACTATTGCCATGTTATTTGTGTAATAAATGAAAAATTCAGGTAAAAGTTTTTTTTAATATTGTCTAAAGACATTTTATTTTTAGTTTTTAAAACTTATTTTATTGGCTGGGTGCAGTGGCTCAAGCCTGTAATTCCAGCACTTTGGGAGGCTGAGGCGCAAGGATTGCCTGAGCCCAGGGGTTCGAGATCATTCTAGGCAACTTGGTGAGACCTCGTCTCTACAACATATCAAAAAATTAGCCCGGCATGGCAGCACACACCTGTAGTTCTGACTGCCTGGAAGGCTGAAGCAGAAGGATTGCCTGAGCCCAGCAGGCTGGGGTGGGTGCCACTGCACTCCAGCCTGGGCGACAGAGTGAGACTCTGAATCAAAAACAAAACAAAATAAAACAAAAAAATAATAGAAGCCGATTTAAAGGTTTAGACTCCTGGATGATATATTTTTAAAATTAATTTATTTTTATTTTTATTTTGAGTAGAGTGCAGGCTGGAGAGCAGTGGCATGCTCATGGTCACCGCAGCCTCGACACCTGGGCTCAGGTGATCCTTCTACCTCAGTCTTCCAAGTAGTTGGTACTACAGGTGCGAACCACCATATCCAGCTAATTTTTTTTTTTTTTTTTTTGAGTTGGAGTCTCACTCTGTCGCCAGACTGGAGTGCAGTGGCACTCTCCCGGCCACCGCAGCCTCGACCTGCTGGGCTCTGGCGATCCTTCTGCTCAGCCTTCCAGGTAGCTGAAACTACAGGTGCGCGCTACCACGCTCGGTTAATTTTTGATTTATTGTAGAGATGAGGGTTCGCCAAGTCGCCCAGGTGGGTCTCGAACCCGCGGGCTCACACAATTCACTCACCTCATCCTCCCAAAGCACGGGATTACAGGCTGAGCCACCGAGCCCAGCCCAGCTAATTTTTTGATTTACTGTAGAGATGAGGTCTTCCCAAGCTGCCCGGGCTGGTCTTGAACCCACAGGCTCAGGCAATCCTCTCATCTCAGCCTCCCAAAGTGCTGGGAATATAAGCATGAGTCACTACGCCCAGCCTAAAATTAATTTTTAAGAGGTATCTGTCAAGGAATTTTGTTCCTTTTTCTTGCCAACATACCTTCTTTCTCTACCATTTTATATCCATCTACTCATGTGACTTTTGGTGTATTTGCATGGAAATGCCTACCCTTTCTTATTTAAATTGCGTCACTACATTTTTAGAAATAACTGCCCCTGCTACTCCCCCACCCCCCCAGCTAAATAAAACTAGCTAGTGGATACTTCAAGAATTAACCAAAAAAAAAAAAAAAGAATTAACCAATGAAGCTGCCTAAACAAGTGGAATGGGCTGCCAGGTCAGCCTAGGTTGGAAAGTCAGTCCTATGCTCTTACTGCAGGCAGCCAGAGCATGCTGGGCTTACCTCTTGAGACATGTCACCAGTGTTCCAGCCACAGGCCTCTACCGATAGGCCCAGGAGGGGGAGGGGTCTCTATGTTGCTTTGGTTGAAATGTGGCTCACTGCAGCCTCAAATTCCTGGGCTTGGGTAATCCTCCTGCATCAGCCTCCTTAGTAGCTACAGGCACATGCCACTATGACAGTTTTATTTGTCTCTCGGCCTTTCTTTTAGGTTTTATACTAATATTTAGGGGATCTACTTAGCAGAATTTTATTTAAAGTAATCCTAATAATAATTCCACAGTTATTTACCAGTTTTTCAAATTGGGATTTGGCAGTTTCCTGAGGAAGAGGTCCTCTCTTTAGTAAGATTTCAGTTGTTTAAAGTCATAGTGCTGATAAAGAGACAGCTAGGTAACGGTCCTCCAAGGTAGAGTTCCCTTTAACCATCTTACTTTTCTACAATTCTCCTGGATCCAGAGGCCAACTTTCATCTTCTAGCTCTCTTTCAAATGCTGTCACAGACAATCTGAGAGTCAGTTATTTTTATCTCTCACATGACTCCTGAATGCAGGCTAGGATAGGTGTCAGGACCACATATGACAGATATCTGGCTCACACATTTGAGGATAAGATTGGATAGAGGGTATATTTAAGTTTGGTCCAGTCAGGATGCTAATATGGATCTATTTTTCTCAAAATTATATGAGAGCAGGTACAATTTCAATCTACATGTCAAAAGCCCCTAACTGAGAGCAGGAATCTTTATTTAAAAGCCCATGTCAACTAATGGAGAGGGTTCTAAATAAAATATCTATTGCCCCTCATTATCCAACCAAGTGGAGGCAAGTGCTTTCTTTTTTTTTTTAATCAATAATCATTATCTTTTATTATGGTTTTGTGGGGTACAGTTAAGGGTTAGGTATACAAATACGTTTCATTCAGGCACCCTGTTGATAAGGTGTTTTCCCGTCCCCAGACAGATATTTGCTACCGTTAATTCCACCTCCCTCCCCCGCAAGTGCTTTCTTGAACTTTGAAGTACACATGATCAGTTCACGTACTTTAGGTCTAGGTGACAAAATAGTCTGAGCGACTGCCTACTTTAAAAAAAAAACAACAGGCCGAGCTCTGTGGCTCAGCCTGTAATCCCAGCACTTTGAGAAGCCGAGGCAAGTAGATTGCCTGAGCCCGCAGGTTCGAGACCCGCCGGGGCAACTTGACAAGACTTTGTCTCTAAAATAAATCAAAATTAGCCAGGCATGGTAGCGCGTGCCTATAGTTCCAGCTACTTGGAAGGCTGAGGTGGAAGGATCTCCGGAGCCCAGCAGGTTGAGGCTGCAGTGGCTGGGAGCATGCCACTGCACTCCAGTCTGGATGACAGAGTAAGACTCCAACTAAAAAAAAATAAAAAATGAAATAAAAAATAAAAAAACCCCCAAATGTCTCTTTTTCCTCTGAGGTGTTCTGCTGGGGTTGAAGTACTTATCTGGAAAGGGCTGACTGGCCTGGGATACTCCAGCGATCCAATGCTTCCCTCTGTAGTCTCCTTGTGTGTGTGTACACAAGCTCAGGTGGAGGCACCATGTGACTGATGGCCCTTTGAGCCTGCCCCTGAAAAGATCTCCTACCAAAGCAATTCTGGCTTTGTTGTCTAGACTGGATGGGCACAAAGTGGACCATCACCTTCTGAAACCGCTTTTCACTCTAAGATGGACATTTTGGCAGGCACAAATGGCTACCTGGCCAAGAGGCAACCCCTTCCCTCATTGGTATAAGGAAGACCCAAGTAAAGCATAGGGGATTCGGCTCCTCTCTGCAGTGACTGGTTCAGGGATGTTGTGTGGGAACCAGTTCTAGGTCAGTGGCTCCTGAGAGGTTGTCTCTAGGGGACTTCTGGGAAAGATTT